ATGTTCACGCGAAGAGGCCAGATGCTTCTGGGCCAGATCGAAGCAGAGGACGCCCTACGCGCGGCCATCAACTCCAAGAGCCTGGATGCCCGGGGTCGTTGCGGCATCATTGAACCGCCCACATTTTGGATGTGTTTTGATGTTGAACCAACGGAAGCTGTGTGCCAAAAAAACAATGAGACACTGAGGTGAAGATCAGTTGGTCAAAGCCTTGGAGGAGGCAATGCAGACGTTGGCCTTGGAAACCAGTCTCAAAAGCTTTCCTGCATACATGAGTGTGTGTGTTTTTTGGACTGACAGAGTGCGTATGATTGCATATTTAAGGGCTTACGCCTGAAAGCCGGCCAGGGGCCCACATCAACAACTGGGGAGGGGGAAGGAGGAAGGGAGAAGGAGAGGGGAGGGGGTTGTGGTGGTGGTGGTGGTGGTCGTTGTCGTTGTCGTTGTGGTTGTCGTTGTGGTTGTGGTTGTGGTTGTCGTTGTGGTTGTCGTTGTGGTTGTGGTTGTGGTTGTGGTTGTGGTTGTGGTTGTTGTGCTGTGGCTGTGGCTGTGGCTCTGGCTCTGGCTCTGGCTGTGGCTGTGGCTGTTGTTGTTGTTGTTGTTGTTGTTGTATCTCGGGCGATGTTGGTGGCTCTTGGGCCATTTTGAAGTCATCGAGGGGCAATCTTGAAGCATCTTGGGCTGTCGTGGCGCAAAAGCATTGTTAAAGAAGGAAGGCCACAAGACCTTATAAATATTTATAAATGATGGTATACGAGGTCGGCGGCAGGGGGTGGACCCCACTTTCTTCTTCGTAGAAGGGCCCGATTATGGAGGACTACTACTTGGAGATTAATGAGATGTTATAGTATGTTATAGTTTTTGTTTGGGATAGTCTGGGGAATCTTTTTGGGGAAGTGGATTGCTTATTGTTCTTGCAATGTTGCTTTGCCGTTTTTGGAAAGCCCATTCAACCCTCCCTGTGGTGGTCGGGGCTGCGCCACGTCGATTTTTCCGCCGGATCCAATTCCGGAGCCCCTTCTTCAGAATGACTTGAACAAGTTCCAAGGCATTTTTTTTACCTCCTACGGCCAAAAAGAACGTAAAACCTGTGCGTTGTGTCTTGCAGAAGTTCAAAAAAATATGGATTTACTATGATTTACTGTGAGTGTTAGTTAGTACCGCGTCGAGAGCGTGCTTTAAATTGGTGTTGCTGGTCCGAAATTTAGTTAGTACCATCGCATTCATCGAGAGCGTGCTTTAAATTGGTGTTGCTGGTCCGAAACGCGCGCGTCTAGGACCACCACAACCACCACACCAGCACCTCTACATTGAATATCATTTAATATCATTTAATCAACAGAAAACAACAACATCAGCCACAACAACAACGACGACAACAACAACAACAACCACCAAAACCCCGGTTTGCGAAGCTCTACAATTTCGCGGGGTCGGGCGGCAAGGGCGGCAGCCCGATTATTGACCACCCAGCGCTGACGTCGAAAACGACAAGACAATACCTGATGAACTGAACCCCTTGCTCCAAGGCCTCGCCTTGACAAATGTCCCGAGACAGCTCACCATCTAGTTCATGCAAAAATCAACACGATTGACCACCTGACCAAAACGACAAGACCAATCCCTGACCCTACAAGTACCCACATGGACATCCACAACTCCTCACGGTTCCCCCCAACGCTTCCCGTGCTTCCAGCGCCGCCAGCGCCTCCCCGGGCGCTTCACCCGGGTCGGACATGTTACATGTCCTATCATGGATGGGGGTATCGCTGCAGTATCTCCTCCAGTATCGGTTATGCAACGTATCGCTGCGCGGTTTTTCGCCATGTCGTTCGCGCCGTTCGCGCAGCGATGGACGGACTTCGCCAGGCCTCGCAGCGCAGCGTGGACCGCGTGAGGAGCGGCAGCGGGCCAAGGGGGTGGTCGAAGGTCGTTCAGGTCGTTTCCGGCAGCGGTGGCCTTGTGTGGCCATGCCAAGTCACCCGTGTTCACCGGTTCTGCACCCATGGTATAGCAGGATAACGGGGGATGGATGGTCCGGGGGCTGGGGAGGGAGGCGGAACCACAATGCAGACGCAAAGTCAGAGCCAACCAATAGGTTTGAAAGTGTTCTTCTATGATCCTTGCAATTCCCCTCACTTCCAGAGGGGAAACATACCTCCCTGAAGACGAAGCGGGACTGCCCACCCAACAAATAAGTTGTGGATCATTCGTTCATCCTCAACAACCCAGGGAGATGATGTCAGATGTAAGTCATGCAAAAGAGTCCTGGTCAAGTGCCCTTTTAGGGCTCCTTCCAACGGAGTCAGACCGCCTGTTCGCTGTCGTTCGAGGCATGGATGTTGGGTCTCGAAGAATCAGGTGCCCAAAAGCGTCCGGCGTCCGGGACACCGCCTGTTTCACCGTGCCAGGATTCTGAAAGCGGAAGCGTCCTTGGCACAGCTTCGAGGCTCCGAGCAATTGGCCTTGGCGATCTTGGAGTGCAAGGACTGAGGTTCCGATCAGCGTGAAGACGGCCGGTGTGTTTTTGGGGGCGGTTTCAGATCACCACATGCAGCATCAATGGTTCACATTTGACAATCATGTGACCAGTTCATCTCTGAGGACCCTGAGACGCTGGAGGAGGCGATCCAAAAGGCCAAGGAGGCAGGTTATGACCTCTTTCTCAACAAACAGTGCCAGAAATCGTCTCACTTCGTCGTGTTTCACAGATCAAAAAAGGCTCTCCACCGGTGGAAGATCAAAAGGTGTTTGTTGCTGCGTTCGCCCCTTTTCACCGCTCAGGCCGGCGTGCCGCGCAGCGAAGTGAGCAAGGCAGAGGCCCTGGTGAAGAGCCTTTGCCGCTCACCCACGCGTTCCCTGGCAGCGCCTCGGTGCCACAATGCGCCCCAGTTCCTGGATGGTTGTGCTTCTACAGCAGGGGTTTTCTTTTTGGGGGGCTGCTTTCATCAGTGGCTTGACTACGTGCCTACCTTGGGTTTGAGAACAGTGCGAACGGAGTTGATCTTCACTAATGTTTCGGCTTGAGTGCCATATGCCTCACTAGTCGCCTGGATGAGAACTAGTTGCCTGTGCGATTCCCAGAAGAAGGCTTCAGACCACACGCTCGTTGGGAGCCCATTCAAATAGCAAGAGCCTCAATGAAGAGCTGTGGCTCGCGCAAGGTGAGCCGTGTTGGTAGCAAGGCCGGATGAGCTGGAGGAGCGTCATTGAATGCAAAACGAAACTCAGGAGCGTCAGTTCGAGGGTTCCCACGTTTTCAATGCCGAGCTGCTTGCAAGTGTTTGTACAACACGAAGTGTGTGATGGTTTGATTGAGACCTACAATAGTAATCAATGTTAATCGTTGTTAATCGTTGTTACATGTTTGGAATCCCTGTGTGCTTCCAGAGCCTTGCTCAACTATCCATCACACAATTGACACTGCATGTATGATATGTATGCGCAACGATCATTTGTTGGATCCAGCCCGAGAATGGTTTCTGGCACAGGAGCTGAAGGCCCTCAGGGTTGTGCCCGAGCAACTCTGCCTGTACCATAGGATTGTTTGGAAGCCAGGCATGGTCATTGGAGGATCAAGCCCAGCAGCCCTGAAATTTGGTCGTCAGGCTAGTGACAAAAAGTGCTACAGTGAAAGGATGTGAAAGGTGTTTCCTCCAACCTCCACTGCCCAAGATTGTAGAGCCGTGGTTGCTTGCCGGTGCAAGCTTTCCATAGGGATAGCGTGCTGCAGTCGTTTTTGTTGCGCTGTTTGACTCGTTTCAAAGTGTGTGTCCGGATGAAGTTTGAGAAATGTGGATATTACAAGCATGATGTACCTCAATGATCCTCAATGTACCTCAAAAAGTCACTTTGGTTTTGGCCTTGCTTCAAGTTTAGCTCTCTAAATCAACATGACATAATAATATGAGAATACATTGTAGATCAGCCATAATCTACAGATGGAGAAGCTGATGACCAGCAGCAAAATGTACCACTAGCATGCTAGACTGCTACCTTGTTCGGGACCACTATCATCGATCGCTTGAAGACATTGGATGTCTCGATGTCTTGCCAATCCCTGAGCACCCACACTCCTCGCGAGTCCAAACGGAAGATGCTCCAAACGCGCAACTCCAGTGCTGCGAATCCATGCAATGCAAGCTGCCACCTGCATCGAAGATGCACAGCGTGAGCAGCAGGGCTCACTTGGCCTGCGGCCATGTGTTTCAAAGGCTTGTGCCACTTGTGGCAAGCCAAGAAATGCTGACGCCCACCAAGTGAGCAGCAATAGCTTGAGATGCTTCAAGGTGGATCGTATATGTGTGGCCTCTACTTCCAACAAGCGTACAAAAGGCAAATAACTTTAAGTATGAATTGCAGTCATTTTACTTATACAAAGTACATGAAAGCCGACGATGTGTTACTAAAATTGTCGGGCACTGTTTCTATTTTCGGGGACCCATTGTAGATCTATAACCCCCCAGCCATCTCAAGAGTGCCTTTTTGCTTTTGCATAGAGCCTTGCACAGTGCATCGTTATCAATGCAGGAGCAAAATGCGTACGCTTGATTTCAGACATGTGTGGCTGATTCACTAGAAGAGCTGATTATCTGGACTTGCAGGCAATCGCTTTCTTTCTTTCTTTATGTCTTTCCTTCTTTCTTTTTCTTCTTTCTTGCTTCTCAGATTCTCTCTCTCTCTCTCCCTCTCCCTCCCTCCCTCTTCCTCGGCTAGCTAGGAAATCGGGGGAAGGTCCCACAATGGTTGAAAGACTCCTACAAGTTCTTGGCCACATCTAGCCACCACACAACATATTACAACGGATCGATCGGAAACAGTGGCAAACCCACTGCAGTTGGGGTCACTCCACGAGGGTCCCAGCCGTTTGACCTGTATGTGTTTAATAAAATCCAAAAATCATACCCATGTTGACAGAGCTACATGTCATATGCATTTTGCCAAGCAGTCGTCAACCTCAAGAATGTGAGGGTTCAGCTATTTCAGCTCCGGTGTGCCAGGCGACCTTGAAGGCTGTGGCTCAGGTGGGGGATATAGCCACATCCAGTAGAATCCATGATGTCCTTTGTTGGAGTGATTGCACCAGGCTGATTGGAACAATCAGTCAAACAACCTTGTAAAGGAGAAGAAGCATCAGTATCAGTATTATCTAGTAATCCTGATTAAACACAAGTGTTCACCACCACAGTCCCCTCTCAAAGTTTTGTCTCTAACAGGCACAGTCTTGAAGACTCTGTAAAGATGTTGAATGTGCGACTGACTGGTTCCCCCTTCCAGGACCGCTCTGAGTTGGCGTCGATGTACAGGAGAGCCAACCAAGAGCTTTGCAGGCCGAGGGTTGGAGGGGCGCACGGGTTTTCGTGCCAGCACACATGAAACGGCAGGAAGTTTATACAGTGTGTTCTTTGACCATTGGGATTTCTCATAATTTCTCGGTTTCGGGCCTGTTTGGGAGATTGAAAGATCAACGTGTCTTTTTAGCTCAAGAGAGAGTCGTTCTCAAGAGGTGCTGCAAGGATTGATGATAACCGAGTTCCATCAAGGTTCTTTACACTAGACTATGTACATTGGCTGGCCTGTTGATGGTTTTCTCCGTTCAGAGATGTCCCCAAGCGATTAACGTTGAGGGAAGAACTATGAAGGCCTGTTGCACCACCAAAAACCAAACCGAAACAAACACTCATAAGACTAAGACCGCAAAAAAGACCCAGAAGAATGCATGCTTTGGGGCTTGGTTCCGGTTCCATCAGACTCCTCTGAACGGCCGTCGTTGTGCAATGCGGAGATGCTGCTCCGACCTCGTCCCCTTCCGACTCGGCCCACTCTCCGCAGGCTGCGGGCCGAGTTGAGCCAACGGACCTTGGAGGTCTTGGAGCTTCGACAGGTCGGCCGGACGGAGTGGAGGAAGCAAAAGGTAGCTCGTCTCGGATGAGGGTCACAGTGTTTTTATGCTAAGCAGGGGTTGCTATGTCAGTCGCACAAGAAGTACAAGAATAGCATGGATTAGCCAGGCATGGGGGCATTGGATGTGCTCCCTTTGCCTCTTGGGCTTTCATGGCTTGGCAAATCAGGAGCCAGAACACCGGGTCTAGAAGAATTTTCGTTTGTCGACAGGTGTTTGTCACTGCTTTAAGACTGCGTTGGAAGCAATGGTGAGAGCCAAGGAGATAGAAGAGACCTCCAGAAGAGTTTCTGTTGTGGCACCTTGGGAGCCACCGGACCTATGTAAAGCAAGCTTCCTTCACATCGGAAGCCACCTGGTTTTAGCGCTCCCCTCCGTGTCCTCGGGTCCGCGGCAGGAGTCACGTCAACTCCGTCAGCCTGGCTTGAACAAATGCGTGGCCCGGAAGTCCAGCTGTGGCGTCGGACGAGACGACGCTGCGCTCGGATCGATCTGACTTGGAGTCCAACCTGGATCCAAACCAACCGTCGTTGGCTGTCTTCAGCTCATGATACCTAGGGGCTCATTGGTAGCAAGTGTATCTACTTCCTTGGCTGTCGAAGCGGTACTTGAAGTAATGAACAAGGACGAATGCTGAAGCGAGCAAGAAAAGGCATTGACAGCCCAGAGGAAGTGATATTGTTTGAGAGTGAGAATTGAGAATGGTCATGGAAGTAAAGATTGCTACTAGGCCTGTAGGTCTTGGCTGATGTCTTTCATGGTTTTCGGTTTTTGCCTCGAAATGAAACGCAAGTTGACATTATTGCACTCACCTTGCTTGACTATGAACACGGCGCAGTCATCCAAAGGCTGTGCTTGCTCTCGAGACACAAGTTGACGGTTGCTGCATGATTTTTTTCAAGAAGGTCGATTTCACAATCCAAGCATGTTGCAAATCCTTACCGTAGGATGCACTTTCTAAATTCAGTGTGTACATATACATTTTCAATTTGTCCAGTACGTGAATATTGCCCAGGTCTGTTTGGATGAGACGGCTCGCTTGGCCTTCGTCCCTTGTGGCCATTTGGCCTCGTGCGAGGCTGTTGGGGCAATGCAGAGATTCAAGTTGGGTTTCCATGACTACTTGAGCGGTTCCAGAGATAAGATCACACTGTTACAGGCTTGTTCACATGGTCCATGCTTAAAACCGTGGTTGCCTCACCAGGCTTGCATTTGCACCCTTTCGTGTATTGGCAATATGATGCAATATTAAATATGAAATATGTGTTGTGTGTGTGTGTGGTGGGCCTCCACAGCTGCATCCATCCGGCCAGATATGTGCAGCTCAAATCCATCCACTGCAGTGTCCGGTTTGCCGGCAGAAGAGCGAGCGACCAGCTTAGCAGTGTTGATGGGGGGATGTAGACTGGTAGACTGATCGCATCGTTCGGATGTTGAGGAGTTAAGGTCCTACAGTTGGAAGGCGAAAGCAAGAAACCAACGGACTAAAGCTGTTGAAGGAGCGTGAAGGGCACATGGTGGACTGCATCCAGGCTTGTAAGTTAGATCAAATTCATGAGACTTTGCCCCCGACCTCCGAAAGCATCCAGAACAGTGTATGCATTGTTCTCCTCTTCTTTTCCTCAAACCATAGTAGGAAAGCGCTTTCCATGTGGGCAATCCAAGGCCAATCAAGACATGGTTGATCAAAGCATGTACAATCTACAGATGTCCTGCATAACCCGAATCTGTGGGACGCCTGAGGTCCGTCTTGCCGATCTATTTGCCCTGAAGGCGCGGCAATCCGCCGAAAACCTCCGAGGGACCAGAAAAGCATCCGATAAAGGATAAAGGAGAACGAGAGGTCGCTGGTGGCCGCTTCAAATTCATGGCAAACGCGACCAAACCGCGGAATCTCGAAGGCAGCGACTGGGCCGAGGAGATCATGTCGCAGAAGGTGATCCATTTCGACGGTGTGGGAAGCAGCTTCAAACACGGCGCTGAAGCTCTTCCAACTTTGAATTCCTTGGTCCTTTTGGTTCTCATAGCCTTCGGATGCCTTTGGTATCATTGGGTACCATCCTAGAGTCCAATCCTGCCCTCCAACCTTATCAGCAGTGTATCGGCAGTCAAAAATAGAAAGCATCCATTACAGCTGATTGTTCTTTGTAGAACAAGTTCTGAAAGGTTCTTGACTCCTTTGCTGGATCCGTGGTTTCGGTGCCAAGTAGTTCCAAACTTGTCTTGGCAAACAATATGACATAATATGACAGTATGAGCCTGCTTTCCACCCCATGTGGGTCAAGTTATGCATTTAGTTCCGACTGGGGGAGCTGGCTCCTCCAATTCGCCAACTTTGTCCATGGGTCGAGACGGTCGAGATCGAAGTGCTGCTTGAAAACTGCTGCCGGATGATCAAAAGCTTCCCGCTCAACAGGGTTTCCACAAGTCACCTTGGAGACCCTATGACAAATGATTGGTAGTTGCCTTATGCTGCTTGGAGAATCCGCTGCAAAGTCGGCCACTCCTGAGCTGGCGGGAGGAAAATTGCGAGCTGCTTCTGGACACCTTCCTCGGCTGGTGGTTCATCATCATGTCTGGGTGTGGTTTCTGAGTTCTTCAGAAACACGGGTGACAGGTCTGGGACTTGTGCAAACAACGTTGTGACAGGTCAGCGCCACTGCATTCCCCCTGGTTCAAGCTTGCATAGCTTCTACAAGAGAGAGAGAGAGAGAGACAATTTGTAGAATGACACGTCTACATAAACTGAGCACACTGAACTTGATTCCGTGCGGAAAGAACATGAAAGAACCATTGAGCAGGGCGAGCAATCCTCCAGTTACCGGTTGCTGAAAGGGCGCACGCTTTCCTCTGGCTGAAACCAGCAGATGTCAGCAAGTCACGGACACTTTCATAGCAGGCCTCCAGTCCCGTGGCACCCCAGATAGGCTTCCTGATTACCCCAGTTCAACACCCCCACGCACATCAGTTGGCATTTTGGCATGATGAATGACAGCTGAGCCAGCAGCAGCGTGTGGTGCCGTGCTCGTGCGATGGACTGGGAGCTTCCCTTTGAAGAGGTCCCTGTCAAACGAAGTTTTGAAGTTCATTGCTCTTGTGTTGATATTTGGTCAGCTGGAATGGGGTCCTCTCACTGTAATGCAAAAGTTTGCTCGAGACTATATACACCAACGTGCCAGACGGCAGAACCGCAAGAGTATACATGCTGGAATAGGGAAAGACAGGATGGTCTTGAGATTTGAGGCGCAGCTGATTTTTCTTCGATCCCAATCACAGGGCTATCGTAGCCCATTTATTTTGTCACAGTGAGGGTGGTCTCTTGGCACAGGGTCCCAGGAGCTGACAGGGCGAAAGACGCGGCAACCCGTTACCTCAGCCTGTCAGAAAAAAAAAACTCAGCTAGGCTGATTTGTCGAGCACCCGGTCAGTTGAATATTGCATTGACCGCCGGTGACCAACTACATGACTAAAGTATAGCAAAGTGACTTGAGGTTCGGGACCGCCTGCGCCGTGGGATGCCCGGCCCTATCCACCTGCGACGGTAGGAGACAGCATCAGAAACCACCACAGTACTGCGAAGAGATGCGCGGCTTGAGCAAAGTGCTCGGAGACGCTTGGAGGGGCTGCGAGTGGTGCTGGAGGTGCGGCCACCGAGCCGCCCATCATGGAGTTTGAATGGAATATGGCTGCCCAGGTCTGACCAACGAAAATGAACTGACTGACTACTGGGGGCCCGGTCAACCTACCAGGGATTAGGGGTCCGGGTGCCATGACCCACACCCGTATCTCTACTGTACAGCTGTGCAGCAGGCATGGGGTGAGCACTACAAGCATGGTTTGGAGCTGTCGGGACTGTGGACACGACCACACAGGTCACTTCAGCGTGGCTTCTTGTTAGGTCTCCATGTGTAGAATTTTAAACTATAAATCATAACACATCATGTAGAACCCAAATCGTCAAATTATTGTGAAATGGTTTCAGTCTCAATGATATAATGTCATTGCAATATCTTCTTCCAGGGTGTTGTGGGTTACTCGTCATAACTTGCCCTCGTCATAACCTCACCAAGTGGATCCAGCTGATCCCTCCGTGTTTGGTTCACCGACACAGGACTTGTGCGACCCGGGCAACCGGGCAGCCATCCTTCGAAGCGTTGAGGCACGCGGGACCGTTGTATGGCCTGGACCATTGTATCGGTCACGGAGGCCCAAGGTCGCTCTGCCCCTGTTCCTTCGGTGGTTTGCGAAATGATATGAGGAGACAGGTGCAAGGTTAACCCTCGAAACGCGAAGGAATACAACAGAAGCCGCGACGTTTAGTTGATGGAAATTCCATCACCAGCTTTGGTCCTCAGACGCAGAACGTGGCGATAGAACACATGGCCACGTGTTGGGGCAGGTTTTCTGCACCCCACAGGAGGATGTGACATGGGTCTAAATGGTTTTGCTTTTGGACGTGATCTACGTACCTGTTTCCTCATGTGTCCTCCACACGGTCGATCACGGCCGCTTTTGACCCAACGAGATGGCGGCGCTCCAGGCCTTCGGCCTCCTCCATGTCCACGAGGTGTGCCACGACGTGGCCACCGGCCGCCGCCCGGCGCAGACGAGCACGGCCAGGGGCCGCAGCCACTCGGCGGTCCGAACACCGGGTCCGGTCTGGAGAGGTCGAACCACGACCAAGGCGACCAAGGACTCGGTTGTTTCGGAGCAAGGCGACCACTGCATGCACTTCCTCGAACAAGGGTCGTCCTTCTTTGGCAGTTATGAACCTTGGGTGCTCATGACTTATGCTCCACGAATGTTCTATTGTTTACTTACTTGTGTGATCTTGTGTGTGTGGGTGTGAAGCACTGTCAACCTTGCAACAATATGCAACAAGTTCTTATTTCTTGCAACCCATTTACTTCCACTGAGATGACTTTGTCGTCACGTCTTTCAGAGTGTTGCAAGTGCTAACAACTGCAACAGGGTCGGGTCTCAGGTATAGTCAATGGCGCGGAGAAATGGCTCAATCTCCACCAGCACGAGGGTGTGGAGGAGAATCTCTGGGGTTCACCAAGGTGAAGCCTGGTGAAGCGGTATGTTGACATACGAAGAACCTGTTGTGACAACATATGCTTTGTAAGGATCAGTTGACTTTGTTTGGAATTTGGGCTGAACCACTTGTGGACCTGGGGAGTTGATGGATCTACCGACTCAAATCGTGCAGGGCACATCCAGTCTTTACGGTGTTTGCTAGTGTGAAAACACAAAAAAGCCCCACAGACTGTAACGGTACTGGTAGGGTCTAAATTGGAAGGCAAGCTGATTTACCAGGTATTCCATTAAACTACGGAGCAGTAACTCCCCAGAGCACACGAGCTACGGTCTTTGGGCTCCCATTCCGTGCGAGGAATGCATCAAGAGCCTACAGGAGCTGCTGTGTGGGTGCGAGGGGACCTTGTTAAAACTCGTACTTCAACACTTGATATGGCATGATACAATACCCTTCCCAGTACGAGGAGAGGGGACGGTCATGAAAAACCAGGAAGATTCCCCAGAGGTTCTGGTGAAAGCCAGAGAGTTGAACTACATGGAAAGTTCACCCGTTTGCCATGGAATGTTGGGCGGAACACTACAGAGACCATAGCTATAACTCAAACTTGCACGCCTATCCCCGTCATTTCTATCCCAAATAATGGTTCACTGATCCAAAATGGTCCAACTGTCCGTTGTTCAAGGCTGCCGGCTTCGGCGTTTGGGCGGCAGTGCCTCCGCAGCAAGCAGGCGGGCGGGGTGTCTTCCACATCAGATGCTCTTGCACGTAAAGCTCTCATATTCTGCTACTGTATAGGCCTGGCCATCTTCCAAGAAGTGCACCTGCTTATAGATTTGCTGGGCCCTTCCAGCCATGCTCAGTTTTGGACGCGCCGCAAAAGTTGCGAGGTACGGTGGTACTCTGTCGTTGACTGCACCGAGATGTGGGGAAATCCACTCTGGCGAAGAAATACCCGGGTTACATCACTCACGCACCAGGGGGCCGCAGATTGATGCCCTTGGACGAGCTTTGCTTCGGCGGCAAAACAGCGCTGCTCTTCGGGTCAGAGGCGCAGTTGGCTCCTTTGGGTGAGGAATCACTTTGCCACTGATGTAATTGCTGGGTCATGCCAAACATATAGGTGCAACTTATGTATATAGATATTTACACACTTATAAGTGGGTGGATGGTAGTTTTATATTGAGTGCAAAGCTATGGCACTGCCAACCACCATGCAGCAGGATTGTAGATGGACATGACATAGGTGTTTTTTGTTCGCCTTGAAGCGAACCTGTCTCATTTAATACTACAAACTTGGGTTCGAGCCAAACAAGTGGCAGATCTTTTGAAACCATCAGAGGACACTCTGGGTAATGGGTGGCACACAAGCGTGAGCTTCAATGTGCTCACGCAGCGTCCTGTTGCACGTTGAGGCGCGCGGGGTCTCTACCAAAGCTGTGGAGTCCTGTGATGGCTGCTTCACCGTTCCTCTCTTTGGACTCAGCGAGAGTCTGGTTGCTCAGAGCCAGGTCCTGAAACCAAGGCGCTTAGGCGTTGCCGCGCAGGAGTGTCGTGTGAAGGAGTATCACTTTCGTGCTTTACTCGTGATATAGATAAATAGGATGAGTTGAATGGCCAGTGCTGTGCTTTGATCCCAACGTATCCAACTGCAGCTTTGACCATCAACTGGCCCCCTCCCCTGTCATTCCACTCCCATCCCCATCCCTGTTGATGTTGATGCCAAATGATGCCCATCCCTGGGTACCCGCCTTGCTTTGTTGCGTCTCGGTCTCCGTTGAGGTCTCAACGTCTCCGTGTGCGTGGCGGTCTCGGTGCACTTGGCCGCCCTGAAGCGCCGCAAGGCCTTGGACCTGCCAAAGGACATGGGCGACATGGAGGAGCTCCAGGCGGACGGCGCCGCGTGGCGGCCAGCGTGTCCAAGGGAAGCTGAGCGAGTTCGTCCCGACTTCGGGGGGAACGTTCCGATGTGCACACGAGTTCGCTGGCGGATAAGCTCGGTGTTTTCCGATTCTGGGGGGGAAGTGGTGTCACTGGGGTGTCACAAGAAAAAGGCAGATCATGACTCCGCAGCGCACAGATGGGTACTTGTTACATCCACAGACAGGGCACTGGGTACTTGTCTCTCGTCCCAGTAAGATGAGTTTGCTTGTTAACCTTTTGGTTTTGATTGGTATACAGACTCAGCCACGATGGGCACTAGCCAAGAACGATTGCAAATTGTAATCGTGACTGTTTATATCTTTTTAGGACTTCCTGGGAAGCGTTAATAGAATGACCAAATATGACAGAATAGTAAAAAGACCTAAAAAGGATGTAATCCACCCTACTCTCAGGTGGAGGAGCTCTTGCGCAGCTATGCTGATCGCTCCCTGGATCATCGCTTCACTGCAAACCTGCGGTCCCAGCGCTCTGTGCGGTCCCAGCGCTCCGTCATCCCAGGCGCATTTTTTTGTGTTGGCAGTAAATGTGTGCAGCATTCCTTTATTTGACTTTGAATGGAGGACCTTGTTTCAACGATGAAAAGAAATCCAAGTCAATATATATAATATAACATCAGCATGGAGGCTCATGCAGTAGAGAAATTGCTGATTGTTCTTTGCACAACGGCGGCCGCCGCAAAAACAAAGATGAAGCATCAACATTGATTTGAGGCAACGAACAGACAAACAATAAAGCAAGGAAGCAAACACAAAAACACAAACACAAACACCAAAAACTGTTATCCAAAACACTGGCTACCTGCATTGCAAAGAGGTTTGAGCGAGAAACATTCACCTTGCTAACACGATTTGCTGCAATACGCAGTGTGTTTGTGCGGCAATCATTGTCAGTACATCCTGTGCACTATTGATAAACAACATGTTGAAATTAGCAGCAATGTAATTGCAATATATATATATATATATTGTTTTTTGTTGTAAATGATTCTATTAATTTAAGTGACAGTAATATGTAATCTTAGATAGAATACATGTCTTATGTATTAAAAAAAAATAGTTTGATTGTGATTATTTTTCGTATAATTATCTTCGAATATATAGTAAAATTTTAATTAATTTGTTTCTTGGAATTGATAAACTATATTTGAAAAAAATCATGTAATTAAAATATATATATGAATTATAATTCTATTTTTAATAAAATATATTTGATGATATTCGACGATTAATCGTATATGGATTTGTTGATTGTTTGTGGGAAACAATTCTAGAAATATTTAAAGATTAAAGTAGTCTTCGGTGGTCGCGAAATAAATGGTCGGATTGAGTATAGGAATTATATCGATTTATAGGTTTTAGTAGTGATTTGTTGAATATGATGGATTGATTTTGTTTTCGTTAGGAAAATTTAGTTGAATATCTTGAAATTTTTGTTTGTTTAATGTGGTGATATTTTGATATTTATGATTTTGGAATTTTTTAAAATAGGTTGGATAAATTTTATTATGTGTTGATACATTTATTTAGCATTTGGTCGGAAATGAATTTATTTAATTTATTATGGGAAAAAAATACAATTAATTGAATTCTGAATATTGTTATTGTTGGTGGCTAAAGAAAAATTATATATTGGATTTATTCGATGAAAATATATTTTAATAATATTATATATTATTTGAATGATATTTTTATCGTTAAATTGTCGACCTTGATAATTATTAAAGGTTCGCTTTATGAAATTTGGTATGTATGATTTTTTTTTGCGTCGCTTGGTCGAATGATTTATTTTGCTTTTTTTTTGGTGTAGTACGACATAGGGAAAATTTTAAGATGATTTTGGCGTTTCTAAAACAGTCTTTTATATCGTCATTTTAATTAATGGATAGGAATTTTATTTTGAAATAAATTATATATACCAGTACTATTTCGACATTTATTATGTGATATTTTAATTTGTTATTGAAATTTGGCATAATAATGTTTTTTTAAAAAACGAATTTTATTTTTTTAATTCTTATATTTATTTGCAATTTGAAAGATATTTTAATTTTGGATACAAGAATATTTATGCCGTAATTTAAATTTACATTTAAATCACCCTACTATGCTTTATTTCCGCCATAAGCGCGATAGTGATTTAGGAGCTATATAATATCGTTGCAGGTATGTTATACTAGGGTCCAGATCCCATAGAGGTATATTACCGTGCTATCCTCTTTCATTCAGGGATATAATTGATTGCCGATAATGTCGCTTTGCCAACAATCATGCAAAGACATGAGGAATTTTGTTAGAATCTATACCTTTTGTGGTTTGTTATTAAATAGCATCGTAGACAGGTATGGTTCCGCCCTTTAGCGTTAAATATTCCGATTACCTTTGAGATTATTGTATACACCCTTCCAAGGTAGCCGTGAATTTTGTAGTGCCGGGCATTTCATTCGTGCGTTTCTTCAGATGATGCTTAGCTATACCAGATACAGGCAAGACATCGTCCCGCAGCCCAATACGGGCGGACCGACGATCCGCTAAGTGCTAAATAAAGAAAATATGTAAATATTATATTTAATTTGATTCGTTTGATTAATTACGTTTTCGTAAGTTAAAATTATATAAGTATTGTTATATTGATATTATAATTTATTTATTTATCTTAATTATATTTATTTATAATTTATATATCAAAATTTCAATTTTATGTTTAAGGATAATATAATTTTATATATTTTAATAATATTATAGGAATCGAAATTTTTATTCATTCGATTAGAAATAGATCTATTTTACATTTACGAATAATAAATTCTAATTATATTATGTATATTTATTATCATCCATTTTGTTTATAATTCAATTCGTTTTTTAATGTAATAATTTCCGTATATATTTTTAATACGATTTTTTTGTTATTTTCTTAATTAAATAGGTAAAATATGTATTTTTTTTGTTCGACGTTATTTTTAAAAAAGCCATTTTGGGAGGTAGAAGCGAGATGGGGTTTTAATTATATTTCTATCTAAATTTTAAAAAATCGAATAAATTTAGTATCATATTTATCATTATACGAAAAAATTATATTATATATTATGACCGTATTCTTTAGGCATATGAAATTTCATATATTTTAAATAAAGGTTTTGTTTGTTCGATCGCGCTATTTTTATATTAATGAATTACATCTAAACCATTTTAGATTTTTTAATGAAATATTGGTAATGATGTGTTTTATGATGAGTGGTTGTTCTGGAATAATAGCTATAATTTTGATATATTATTGATTCAAGAAATAGGATGGCACTTTTGCAATTGATAGCATGCGCCGAAATGGATCTGCATCCAGCGCCAATTCTCGAGCTTCACAACTCTTGATATGGTGTGGAGGGCCATCGTGTAACCCGCCCAATTTGCTTATCACGCCTGGATGTTTATTACACTTGCAATTGAGTCTGACCAGAAGTTCGATAAGGCACCGCAAAGTAATCAATACTTCTTTCAAGAGTTGAGCCCAAGTTAGTTACATTGCACTACAAATAAGCATTATTGCGAAGATGTAGTAGTTACACTCTAGGTCGGCAAACCAAAGAAGCAAAGCATCGAACGAGGTCGACGCACCGCGCAGGCCTTTTGCGAAAGCAAGGTCCCTCCCGTCTTGAGGGTTTATGAGCGGCGGATTCGAAATCTTGAACATCGACCGACATCGACGAACCGTTCCCTCGCCCATTGAACGGCGTTCAATTCACATGGGGGGAAGTGTCAGGCTCAAAAGTCGATGCCGGGACTGTTGAAATCATTTCTTCAGCAACGCACTCCGTGATTGACCAGTTGGGCACGTCTCACTTTCGAGCAAGGATGTCTTTCCATTTTGTCCCATTTGGAGGGCCCCTAGTGGTGGCCTCCCTTCCTGGCGACATCTGTTCCAAGCCAGTGTAACACCACGAAACATGATGCGGCCTGCCATTTTTCGTGCAGTTGGCAAAACCAAAGCCAGTGCGCAGGACAGACCTGGAACAGCAGGGATGGAAACACTTCCCATTGCTCTCATCGGTTGCCACACCTCCCGCCAGCTTGGTCTCACAAGTTATGGAAATCATTTTTGCACGGATCGAGGCGCTATATGTGCAGAGGATGCACAAGTCACCTTAGGCTAGTGAAGAGAGAGTTACGAACCGAGTAGCAAGGCAACACCGAACCAAAACACACAACACACCAAACACCCCAACACCAAAACCCAGAAAACCAAACCAGGTTCTTAACTCGTGTCGGCTATGTCAGCCAGTTGAGAAAGGTGCAAGTGGAAGTGGAAGTGGAAGCAGGACACACACCATAGGTGCGGCTGCCAGCCAAAGTTGTCTACGGCTCCAAGTGGTTCAACTGCCGAGTACAGTAGTCTACCTGCAAGATGGTGGATTTCGAAGAAGTTACGTACTCAGAACCGTCATTGTTCCTGGGTGCAAGCATTTTGGAATTTGTGTGTTCGAGGAATGCTGCTCCCTGGTGCAAATAGGAGGTCAAGGCGATGCCGCTAATCAATTAGCTCGTCAGGCGCAATGTCGCCCGCGGGCCTTTGAGAAATGCAGTGCACGAGAAAGCTGAGTATGATCCTGTAAACTTGACACGCTGCCTGCCTGAGTGCTATTTCTTGGAGGCTGGGATCGTCTCGCTACACCTGCCAGCGGACTTCAATTGGATAGGACCTGCCGCCTGTGAACTTTGCAAGCGACTGCAATTAGTAGACCTCTCACGAACAGACATTAGTGAGATTTTAGGGTCCACGTTTGCACACTGCTCGCAATTGGAGCGGCTCAGTCTTGCCAACAAGCTGGGGCGCATTGGACGAGAAGCCTTTTTGAACTGCACATCGCTGCGTGAAGTGCATGCCCCATCAGTTTTACTGTATATGGCTCGACGAGCCTTTGCAGGATGCACACAACTTTGCACATTTCACAAATCAGAAGCCAGAACTACCTGGAGAGGACCATACGCGGAACCTAGCGCCTTTGACAAATGCAGTCAATTTGATATCCCGAGGTGGATTCACCTCCTCCCACCGAATCGAAACCACAGTAGAGAGGGGTGGGCAGACGATTTTTACGAGGAGCTGCGCAAGGACCTGCAGTAGTCTTGCTAACTGCTCAGGCTTGCACCCAAGTGCAGGTCCTGCCAATAACTAGAACATGCCAAAGGACTTGGCGTCCAGCAACACTGAGTGCTAGAGAGTGCCCAGGCTGCCACCCTAGTGGCGGTCCTGGATGGATACAAAGAGTACAGAACTGTATAGCGATTAGGACATAGGATAACGGCGTTTCACCCTGTTTCACTCAGTTCATGGGGCTTGCATGGTTCAAGAATGCATACGGGTGGCACGCCTGCATGGCGCCAATCGAGACTCAATATCCTGTTGCCATGCACCAGTCGGCAGCTCAACTTGGCTCTTTGTGGACGTTCTGCAACTTTTGCCTTTCTGTGCCTCCCGTGCATAGCTGTTTTGGAGTCACTGCCGCAATGCTGAAGTGCAAAGCTGCCGTCTCCCCACTTTGGGGGGAGATGCTGTCCTGCCGGAATGGTGCTTACTTGCACCCCACCATC